CCTCACCTCCTGCTCATGCACCCTCCCCTGAGGGGGGAGCTACTTTCCAAGGTCCTGCATGGCCTGCAAATGACCACGTTCAAAGGCTTCCTCTCAACCCTCTTCCTTGGGTCGTCCTCTGTGCTCGCAGTGGACACAGTCGCTACTCTCTCTACATGAAACTCTGTCCTCCCCTGGTTTTGAGAACAGTACACGGGTCTCACTGTCCCCTCCGCCACTCTACGTGGCTCTCCCCCTCAGTCTCCTTTTCTGCATCACGCGGCTTCCTCACGGGCCTTCACCATCCCGGGACTCTCTTCTCTCTATATCCTCTTTTTCATGGCGGCTCTATCCATGCCCTCTTTCACCTCTCCACCCTAAAGAGATATTGCCCAACTCTACAGCTGTAGCTCAGAGTCCCAGATGCATTTCCACCTGCTCACTGTGACATTCTCCCTGGCTTTCTCATCAGCATCAGTAACTTTGCCTGTCCAAAATGGGGTGGATTTTCCTTGCTGGAAAGGTCCTTCATTCTTCTTGTGAATGGGCTTTCCACTGCTGGGCTTCTGGTCACCGAGGTTCACATCCCAGAGGGCTCTTCAGGTGCCTCCATCACTCACCAAGTGGCAGGCAAGAGCTACTAGTTTTACATCTACAACATGAGTATTTCACATTAGTTTAGTTTGTTTTACCCACCATTCTTCTAGCACAGACTTTTATGCATTTTCTGGATCATGTTGTCAAACTAATGTTCCTAAGAATCACCTGGAGATCTGGTGAAAATGCAGATTCTGACGTGGGCCCCAATATTCTGCATTTCTAATAAGCCTCTAGATGATGCTGGTGCTGCAGGTCCCTGGGCTACCTTTGAGTAACAAGGTTCTAGATTATTACAATGGTCTCATAAGTGATCTCTCTCTAGACCAGTGGTTCTCAAAGTGTGGGCCCCAGATAAGCCACAAGCTTCACTTGGGAACTTGTTAGAAATGCACATTCCTGGCCAGTCCCGGCCCCACCCACTCAGAAAGTCTCTGTCTGAACAAGCTGCCCAGGTGATGTGCTCCAGGTAGTTCTGCTGTGTACTAAAGTTTGAGACCAACTGATCTAGTAAAGATCTTGGTACAGATGCCGTAAAAATTCCTTAGTGTTTCCAAATATGACTTTCAAGGGGCCTCACCCTTTGCCACCAGCTGACTCTTTCTCTCCACCCATGTCCTGTTCCTAATTTTACAGTAAAATGTGTTGCACGTTTTTCCTGTCCATTCTCTGTGCTTACTGTATCTTTTTCATTCTTGTTTCTTTTTCCCGAAACACTCTCATTATTGCTAATGGGAAGCCTATTCGTTCTTTAAGTTCTAGCCTAACACTGTCTCCTTTGCATTGTGTTCTGCTGGGAGTCCACTTTTTCCCTTCTGGTGCTCAGTTGTGGCTGGCACATTGTGCACCACAAAACAGTAGTGGTTCTCAATTAGGGTCAATTTTGCCCCAGAGGGGACAGGTGGTAATATCTGGAGAGTTAATTGTCACGGCTCCAGGGGTCAGTGCTATAGTCATCAAGTGGGTGGAGGTGAGGGATGCAGATCAGTATCCCACAATGCACAGTATCCTACAATGCATCTCACCCCTGCCCCCCAAACAAAGAATTATTCAGCCCCCAAAGTCAATAGTGCTTTGGCTGAGAAACCGTGTAACAAGCAGTATGTGTAGCTTCTATTTTCTCGGACAGATGGCCACCAGCACCACCCTGGGGTGTGTGTTTGTTATGCACCCATGTTCTGGTAAAGAGTACCATGCACTTCATCAAAGGCCTTTGTCTTCATTTTATTGAGAAACCGTATGACTAAATATTGCAAAACTTTTAAAATACGTGATTGATGCTAATGTGGCCTAATGCTAATTGGTGAAGTTGATGTTAGGAATTCGATTGTCTTACTGTGGCCCAAACTCTTGACTTAAAACTCCACGTTCACCATTTTCTGTGCTTGGGGAGTTAGGAGTGGGTTTGATTTCTCCTTCATCCTCTGTGGCTGAGGAAATATCAGGTGCAGACAAGTTACTTATCATTGAACTGATGAAGAGACTGAGGGTCAGGCTGCTGCCTTGCCAGTTCGGAACTGGGTATTTGCACTACGGCCTGGACCAGAAGGCTTCTCTTTGGAATGGAGCAGTCATGGGTTTACTGCCTGGGAGTGTTCTAGTTGTTTGTAAGCAATAGAGATCTTGGTCTCTTTACTTTGTCAGGCCAAGTGCTGTCCAGCACAGGCTAGGTTCTCCTTGCTGTTTAATTCTACAGGTTATGAGATGGTACGTTGCATTACAATGAAGTGATGTGCACAGGGTTCTCTTGCCCAAAGAGCCCACCCCAAGGAACGGAGACCACCACACTTTAATGAAGATCCTGATCTGAGACGTACTGCCCTCTCTCCGAAGGGACAGAAGCACAGGGTGGGAAGGAAATCAGTTCTAAGAGTCGAACCTCACTTGAGGACTTAGTAACTTGCAGGTCCAGTTTTTTTTTTTTTTATTAGGAACTTGTATGCCTTTTCACTTATTGAAACCCTTGGAGCAAACTGAACTCAGAAATTTTCGGATTTTAGACGGTGACTTGGACATGCACAGAAACTGTATAACAACCCAGCAGAGTCTGAGAAGCACCTGGTTACCGAATGCTCTGTATGTGAGGAACAGCTCAGTAGTCACACTGGGTGTGATAAATAAACACCATTAATAGCTTCAAGTCAGTTTGGGTGAGGTTTGCCGCAAGCAAGTTCTGAAATATCTCATGGCTTTAGATTAGAGATTTGGGGATTTTAGAGCCCCAGGGAAGGTTACTTGGTTGATGAGAGGATGGAGATCACTTTGGTCTTGATTAGATGGTTGCATGAGTTTCAGATGTACTGTCGTCCCGATCACTGTTGAGAAATGAAACGTTCAGGTGCTGAGGAGAGAAGCTGGGCCGAACAAGAATCACGGCAGCAGAACATCCCGCAGCGGGTTAGCGGCTCCGGCCTGTTATGCGACAGTCGTTAACACACCGTGCGTTTCCCTGATGGCTTATTTTTTTCCCTCTGTGAGACAGGGGTTCCAGAGAGGCCCTTCGGTCTGGAGATGAAGGTCAGGCCCGTGAGGTTAGGTTTTCATGAAGCCAATGGCTGTGGACTTTCTTCTCCTGCCATTGGAAGGGGGATGAGCCGTGGCATATGGAATTGTCCCACGTGGTGGGCGAGACCTTGGCAGCCCAGCGGGAGACTCTTGGAGCTGGCGCTTCCTCATCCAGCAGTCAGGATCTTTTCCCCACTGCCGTGTGAGTGGGCCTGCTGCAGACAGCCAAACAGCACTGCTCACGTCCAAGGGACAGGGGACAGTATCAGGCACTGAAGAAGAGCTGAAGCAAGGGAAACCTTACAGACAAATATATTGAGTTTCGGGGGTTTTGTTTTTTGTTTTCTACTGAGTTTAAACACTGCCTAGTTTTTCTTTTTTAACAGATTTCCGTAATGTGCCTTATTACTACGAAATAGATCATCTCATCACTGGTTAACCTTCACCTAGGTTAATGCCAAGTATGATGTGACATCTTGTGTCATTCTAATTCTTATAAACCTGATACTTTATTGTCTAACCCATAATTGTTAATGAAAATGGGGGCATTAATGTATGGTATTAAAATTAAATCAGTATTAAAATATTTTCTTTTTAAATGTTAATATTATTCATACTGGTATAGTTTAAGTGTTCCTTAACCAGTCCCTGGTGATAACACTATTAAGTAAAAACAAAAATGGGTCTGGGTTTCATAATAGTGTCTGGATTTTACATCTTATTAAGTGCATTGGGTATATTTATATTTATGATCTACTGTAAGGACTGAATGGAAAAAGAGATTTCCTAGTCTGTTTTTCCTTTTCTTCTGAAGAACGCCATTCCTATCTCAGCAGGCCAACCCAGGGTCTGCGAGCTCTTATAGACCCAAGAGGGAGCCACTGGAGGAGATGGGCCTTACTCGGTCACATCAGCACAATGACAACAAAAACAAACAAAGGTTTCTTGCCACTTGGGGCTTTATCCATTACATCCATGTTATGAATAATAAGTCACCAGCTGACCAAGCTTCTTTGTCACAGGAGCCTGTGGGGGCTTCAGGACATTTCAAAGTTCAGGTAAAACTCTATCTATCAATCATGTATCTTTCATTTTTCTATCAATCTATTATCTATCTATCAGCTGTCTATCAGTCATCTATCTATATCAATCAGTCATCATCTATCCATCTATCTCTATGTCTCTTTCTACATCTCTGTTCTGTGTGTGTATTTGAAAAGGTAAAAAGGATTGACTTAAGTAACCAGGAACACAGTTAATTTTCTTTTCCTACTTCTACCTACTTTTACCTACTTCTACCTAGGATGCCATAGGCTCCTAGCTGAATTAGCTAATCACAGCCTGGCACAATGTGTCCTCAAAGAATCATGGGCAGCAAAGACATTCTTCATCTTCAAGGGCCATAAATGTAGGGCATGCATTGAGACTACAAATCATAAAGAAAATAGAAAATTCCTGCTAGGAGAAAGACTTCCTCAGCACATGCATTAATTTCCCCCAGCCCAACTCAGACCAGGGCACGAGTCCAGCTATTAGGTTATGGGTAGATCATGTCTATACCACACTCTTCACTATTTCGTTCTACGACACAGATGAAACTGGAACACTCTCCTCAATGCTCCATATTTATTTCTCCCTAGAGGGGCTGGAGCATTCCTGTAAGGCAACCCAGAAGCATGGAGTCCTGTGGTAAACAATACAACAAGATCCAACTTACATGTAATCTGTAGGAAAATTCACATGTAAATTTCTGTCTCCTGCTCTACTCTGGAAAATAACTTTTCATTTCCAAAAATATGCATGAATAAATTATTTGATTGTTGTTAAATTTGGAGAAAGAACCATTGATTTTAGACTTTGAGATGAATTAAACTACGAAGAGTGAAGGGGAGCAAGTTTTAAAGGAAGATGTCAGCCAATTTCTTTTATTTATTTATTTATTTTTTCCAAGAACAGTTAACATTTACTAGGCACCTATTGGCCTCAGTCACTTGCATCTAAAGAGCAAAGCTAATTTACCCACAGCCCGTGTTCTTTTAAATGGTTAGTCTTATTTCTTAGCTCTGTTAACCACTATTCTAACATTAGCTTCAAGTTCCATTTTAATAATCTAACCCATAATTGTCTACTGCTCCCTGACACATGAACAAAAATGTTTGGGGGAATAAGAGCAGTTTACATTGTCTGTGGATACTTCAAGTAACTGGCCCCAAAGTGAAATTATTGAGTTGGCCATGGTTTATTGTGTTCTGAGGGCATAGAATGGGGGAGGAAATGGACCTATAGAAAGAGTTGGTATCCAAAAATGTGTGAACGTGTGAAAATCCTATAACTTCACTTCAGCTGGCCTAATATCCTGAGTCACTAGATGGTCAGAGGAATAGATACAGTACAAAAGGAACAAACCGATGTACACTTACACTATAAACCAAAAACAACGTTTGTACAAGATGAACAGCAAATGAAATAGCTTCTATCAAAATAAAATCTCACACAAGGCCATTTTATATGTATGTGGACATACGCACACCCACACGCACAGACACACAAGCAAGAATGTGTATTTTGTAAGATAGGTCCTTGGAAATAGACATTCTTAGCAAATATGGATGACAGATCAATCGTAATTTATTTTCTTTTAACACTGTATCATCATAAAGAAAACTGGTATAAATGAAAAAGTCTATTTCAAATATCTACATCTAAAATTTTAGGCAGTGAAAAAGCACTTCGTTGACAAGGAGTGTGGAATGATGTATGTTAATTGTCAGAAACTGCTGAATGCCTTGCTTAGTTGCCACAAACAAATTCACATATCAGAACGAACAATACTGCTAAATATTCCTTTTTTTTCCCCCTGTGGGTTTTTTTTTCTTTTTCTTTCTTTTTTTTTTTTTTGTTAAGACATACTGGGAGAAAGAAAAGAAAAGAAAAACTGGAAATCCATACATCTTTCAAAAGTTTGAAATTGAAGCAATATTTAGAACCAGAGATGAGGAAACACGGCGGTATTGGTGTAATATACACAACGCGCTTTTCTTCTTTAATCTGTAATGTACATCAAATACTTTACAACAATGCATTAACAAAAGGCAAGAAACGTCTTGCTGTACAGAGGAACCCCAATGCAACTGGAAGCCTAGAGTCACAACGGATGAAGAGAGTAACAAAGCGTGAGAAGCCGTCCCCCGAAACGTGTGTAAACTATTCTGTGTCTTGTGCTTAACAATAACCTTCACGCCCCACCACCCCACCATCTGCTCTCTCCTTCCTTCAGCCACGTTCAGTATAAAGCACTTTTTATATTCTACAGCTCAAACTAGAGAGGTGTCGCACACTGTCATATTTAGGATTGCTTTAGCTTTCTATTGATTTCCAAGTTAACGTTCGATTCGTTTAGCTTTCTAAAATAGCTCTTAATATTTTCAAACTGGTTATCACAGCCTTCCTATGGAACAGGCTTTAACAAACTAAATTTGCAGGGGGGGGTAAAAAAAAAAAGAAATGTCTTGTGGTATGCATGCACATGCACTGTTCCCAGAGCGCCTGGTGGCCTGGTGGCCTGGCTCCTCACACCCAGGAGTCGGGGGAGGCTGGGTAGTGGCTCGTTTCATAGTTCAGTTCACTGTAGGGACGGGCAGCGGAGTAGAAGTCGACGTAGTTGCCAGTGGACTTGAGGCCCAGGTGCATGGTGTACTCGCTGGCAGGGGGGCGGTGGTGGACCTGGTCCTCAAAGAAGGACTCGTCGTAATTTCTTGTGGAATTCTGAAACGGCTGGTAAGACTCGTAATCTTTTCTGCTGGGCTCCTGTGGGACTGGCTGTGCTGAAACCTGCATGGGAAGAAGAGCCACGCGGTTAGTCCGTGGCCTGGACCCGCCCTGCACCCTCCTTCACAGAGAGGGCTGGGCACGACCAGGTGCTCGTGCGTGGGACACCTCTCGTCCAGCCACTGCCTGCTGCCATTACCTTTCCTTCTGGACACTGGCTTCTGGGTCCACCTGCTCTCATCCTGCATAATCTTTTTCTTTATTATTATTGTGGTAAAACAGACACAACATAAAACTGACCATTTTAATCATTTGAAGTGTACAGTGCAGTGGCACTAAGGACATTCACAGTATCGGGCAGCCCTCACCCCCATGCATCTCCACGACGTTTTCATCATCCCAAACAGAAACTGTGTACCTTTTAAATGTAACTCTTCGTTCCCCCTACCCCCAAACAAGGCAGCCTCCATTCTATTTTCTGTCTCTATGAATCTGACTATTCTAGGGACCTCTGATGAGTGGAGTCACACAGTGTTGGTCCTTTTGTGTCTGGCTTTCTTCACCTAGCATAATGTTTTCATAGTTCATCCACGTTGCAGCGCAGGTCAGCAGTTCCTTCCATTTCAAGGCTAAATAGTGCTCCCTTGTATGGACTGACCACATTTTGTTTATCCGCTCATCCACTGATAGACACTTGGGTTGTTTCTGCCTTTTGGCTATTATGAATGACACAGCAGTGAACAGTGGTGCACTGGTATCTGAATCCCTGTTTTTGATTCTTTTGGGTGTGTATCCAGTGAGTCATATGGTAATTCTATGTTTAACTTTTTGAGGACCTGCCAAACTGTTTGCCACAGCAGTTGTACCATTTTTTTTTTTCTTTTTCGACTGGTAAGGGGATCGCAACCCTTGGCTCAGTGTTGTCTGCACCACGCTCAACCAGTGAGCACACTGGCCATCCCTATATAGGATCCGAACCCGCGGCCTCGGCGCTACCAGCACTGCACTCTCCTGAGTGAGCCTTCTATGTTTAACTTTTTGAGGACCTGCCAAACTGTTTGCCACAGCAGTTGTACCATTTTTTTTTTTCTCTTTCGACTGGTAAGGGGATCGCAACCCTTGGCTCAGTGTTGTCTGCACCACGCTCAACCAGTGAGCACACTGGCCATCCCTATATAGGATCCGAACCCGCGGCCTCGGCGCTACCAGCACTGCACTCTCCTGAGTGAGCCATGGGGCCGGCCCGTACCATTTTAATAGATAATTTTTTTAATGTTATGAAATACATATAGATAGTAAAAAGGTTATTGCAGCAAAGCAAATTTAGATAATATTTTTTAATTAAAGAGGTGTGGACAAGCTATAGAAAACGAGTAGTTCATTTTCCTTTTTTCTGCATTTTTTCATATCACGCTTAGGTGTTGCAATCTCAGGGGGAGAGTGAAGATGTACAAGGTCTGAGGGCCATGCGGGCATCTTCCTGTCAGTGCAGAGGTCTGTCATTGATATGTCTTCCACCTCTGTGTGTATGCTGGGGACTGAGGTTTCCCTGTCTTAGGGCTGGTCCACCACACCTGCTTAAGTGACCGGGCACCTTTGATAAGGCACTACACATGCCAAATAGTCTACACTCTGCAGGGCCAAATGTTTTCTAACTTGGTGCAATTGAGAATTGACTGAACTCAAGAGTGCTGTAGGATTATGAAGCCTTTGATTAGGGATGAAGGGTCTTCAGAATTGTCTGGTTTTACCAGCCCACCTCAATACGCCCCGTTTCCACTCACATCTCTGAAGGTTACTGTCTGCTATAGAGGCCCAGAAGGGCTCAAGGGATCAGAGGAGCCTTCGAGAGACATGAAGTCAAGAATAGGTTCCCTGTGCTTGGCTTTAGGGACAGTAAGGCAAACAGTGTTCTTGGGCTGATAATATATTTATTAGCATTTGCACCTGGAGTTGGGCTGTCCCTTTCCCTTCTGCCTGCCTCTGGGGTCCCTTTCCAAGCACCTGCCCTTGAAGTGGGCTGTACCTCCCAAGGCGTGGGGTGAGGGTGACCCCATAGCCAGTGAAGACAGGGAGGCAGAAAGCTCTGCTAATGTGCACTAATTCGGGAGGAGGTCTGGTGTGAATTGTAAAACACTCTTAGAGAAATACAGGTTGATTGCTTTTGAGTGGATTCAGTAATTCCCTATTAATTTAACTAAGGTTCGGCACGGAAACGTTCTCTAGAAATTGGTCTTAGTTAATTGATAATGATTTGTAATTAGCACGTTGTGTGTAAATGAATGCTCTAATGGTCTGCACATAACTCTTCTTTCAAGTAAGTGAAACGCTCTCTTTTACATGTAATTGATTTACACTAGTAATCGACCTGTTCTTCAAAGAAGTGGTGAACTTCATCACAGCTGCTGTCCAGTGTGTCCCACACTTCTAGTTAGTGGTGACTGAATGAATGAGGTTTCAGTCTACCTGCAAAAGTGCAAAAGTCCGTAGAGCATGAATCTTTGTTAGTCTAAGACCCTGCGGATGAGAGGGGCATTTGGAATTAGTATGCAGCATCTGTGATTAAGTGTCGCTAAGACCAGGCCTGCCAGACTGCGTCAATAAGTGCAAAGGGGGCCCTTTGCTGTTCTTTGAAGAGTTAGGTGTGAAGTTGAACTTCTTCATTCCAATAGTGTGTGGCACTGTCCAAGAGCAGAGCATACAGAGGCTCAGAGTTGGGAGGTTTAGAAAAATTGCACAGGAAGGGAACTAGAATTTACTGTTCTTCTATTTTAATTGCCACCATATTCAACATATGACAAATTCTTTGTTTAATTCTCAAATGTTCACAAATGTATACGTATGCATATATGTTCATGTCTATCGAATGATAGATTGGTCATCTATCTACCTTCCCATCCATCCATCCATCCATCCATCCATCCATCCATCCATCCATCCATCCATCCACCCATCCATCCATCCATCCATCCATCCATCCATCCACCCATCCAGTTCCCACTTTATAGATGAAGAAACTAAAGCTTAGAGAAGTTAAGAAATTTCCCCAAGATGTCATGGCTAGTGGTGATGTGAAGCTGGCATCCGAACACACTTCTGGCTGACTCTAGCCCACGTCCTCTCTCCCACACTAGCACAATCCCAGCAGAGCCAAGGTTGCCAAGCCTCAGAGGGCAGTCCTCACTGAGTTGACTCCAGGCTCTATGATAAGAAAGGTGGTCAGTGGACAAAGGAGACCAAGAAAAGGGGTGTCTTCTTCGTGCTAGTCTTGGTGGCCAGAAGAGGCAGTGCAGGTGACAGGGAGGTCTTCGGGGGAAGTCACTCACAAGGCTTGTGGCTCCGCTCCAAACCGGTTGCTGTTTCACTTTTTGTACAACTGTTTCAAATTTTTATCATTGTCATGTTCTCTCTGGTTGGTGAATGTTTGGGGGTTGGGCATAATAATCTTACTATGTGAGTCACTTACCGTCTTCAGTTCATCTGCATCATTCATAAAGCCCCACGTCAACCACTTCTAAGGGTTAACGCCCCAGTTCTAAGAGTGTGTGTGAATGAACTACCTTGTATGGGTCGGGGGTGGCACTGTGCGTTTGGAGGGACTGAAATTGCTTCCTGGTCTGGTGGTGTGGGTGTCGGCTGGGGAAACACACCCACGGTGGAGGAGTATTAGCTGAATTTTATACTTTCCTTTAAGGGAGTGTCTGGCAGTGTTCAAAATTCGGCAGATGAAATGTCCCAAATATAAATCCTCCCAAAGAAAAGCTAAAAAATAAATGCATTTGAAAAAGATTGCATGGTTTGCACAAACCAGATTTCTAGGAAGGAAGTAGAATGATGTTCCTATACAGCAGTGGAGATTTCTGAATTTGGGGGTCTGTTGTGGTCCTAAGAAGCCCTTGCACATCTGAGGAGCCTGAGGCTGTTGCTTGCTACAAGGCAGTGTGCTCTCTGGGAAGGGACCATGTAATCAGCTGGCTCACGTGGGGGTTCCTTGGCCCACACTCTTTGTGCTCTGTCCTGTTGCTACTGTTCCCAAAAAGTCATCCTTGCTGAACTTTTTCATCAATAGTAGGACATTTAATTATGAAGGACGGTGCCATGAGACCTTCCAACTGTGCTAGCCCAATGACAGAATACTTCACCATGTTTATTCTTCCCTGAGTTCGCCAGCACCCTGAATTTATTTTGAACACAAGGGAAATAGCTGCCCACTACAGAGCTTCAAACCTTTCCACACCAGGAAAGCTGAGGACTCAGAGTATTGATCAAAAAGGAAGGAGGGGCTGGCCCCGTGGCGCACTGCTACAGTGCGCCGCTTGGGAGCGTGGCAGCGCTCCCGCCGAGGGTTCGGATCCCACATACAGACCAGCCGCTCACTGGCTGAGCGTGGTGCGGGCGCAACACCGAGGGTTGCGATCCCGTTGCCGGTCCCGGTCCGGTACGGGCGCGACACTGAGGGTTGCGATCCGTTGCTGGTCACGAAAAAAGACAAAAAGGAAAAAAAAAAAAGGAAGGAGGCCGGTGGTAAGGATAAGTGGTTCTCATAGAGGAATCCCAAGACCGGCAGCATCACCTGGGAACCTATTAGAAATGCAAATTATTGGGGCCACAGTCTACACCTACTGAGTCAGAAACTCTGGGATCAGGGCCCAGCAATCCGTGTTTTAGCAGCCCTTTGGGGCATTCGGACTCATGCTCTAATCTGAGGACCAAGAACAGATGAGAAGACAGAAGATTCAGGTTGAGTCCTTGCCTCTTCATAGCTGGATGACTGCAGGTCAACCTCATCCTCCTTGAATCCCAATTTCCTCATCTCTGGGGACAATTAGACCTGCCCTACTCACCTGACAGTCAGCCTGAGGAAACCTAAAAGGAACTCAAGACGCTGGTTTTGTTATCATCAGTAATAATTTGAATACTGGCCATCATAACACCAAACCCTTTTGTTTCTAGTTTATGAATAAAAATCTGGTTTCCAGATAGATATGTACAGTTAAATATGATATTTCTCTTTATAAGTTTGGGATGGACTGGTAGAGGCTCAATAGAATTTCTGTAGGGTA